AAATTCATTCGTGTTTTCAATTTTGAAACTTACTATAAACCTTGCAACTTGATATGAGTAAATATGACTATTTTTATATAGACAGTTGGCTTAAGTACAACAACTGTGAATTTTCACATCCACACATACTACTGAAGAGACTAAACAAAATCATGGAACATGGAAGCAAGATGAGGGAGAAAGAAGGAAACGTGGGCAAAGAAAAATGCATTTGTGAGTCGTACCCAGCTTTCAAGGGACAGATAATTCCTATTTTATATTAGTCATTCCATATGAGAATTACAAAGGAGAGTTGTTCGATTCATTTTAATGGGGCTAAAATAAAACAGAATAAATAAAAGAACAAATAAAACACACACACCCCACATAAACTAGGAAACTGTATTACTAATAATAATGCATACAAATGTAAAAAATTTTTTGGGACCAGCAGTTAGAGTAATGGCTATGTCGCTGAACTCCCATGTAGTCGATCGCGGTTCAAGTCCCGGACCCAGTGGCTTAAATTCACGCCGGGCGCATGTGTGTGTGCCCAAGATCCCGAGAGGAGAACGGAGGAGAAGGGATTGTGGCGTGGCCATCCCCCCTGGGGGGGGTGATTTCTCGCTTTCTATCTCTCTGTCTCTCTCTGTCTTTCTGGTGAGCACATGCGCCCGATAGCAAAAACTTCTCAAAAAAAAAAAAAAAGGCAAAACATTTTTCAAAAAGATCAAGGAATCCAGCTGTATAGAATACTATTAAATTACTGATACATGTTGATCAAGTTGAGATTATCTAAATACAAGGATAATATAACATTAGAAAAAAAATCTATCAATGAAATTTACCATATTCATGAATGAAAGAACAAACACCATAGGATTATATTAATACATATGGAAAAAATTAAATTAAATTCAGTACTCGTTTATGTTTTCAAAAAATTATCAGGAATTGTAGGAATAACTACATAAAAAATATATACCAAAACCTCTTGCAAATATCAGTTAGTAGAAAATCTTTAGACACATTATCTTCAAGATAAGAAATCCGACATGGATTTTCAATATCACAATACTAAACAACAACATAGCGATGATCCTGCCCCATATAATAGGATAACAATAAGAATAGTGGCAGATAAGGAAAGGAGGAAAAGAAACAAAGGTCAGTATTTACAGATAATACAGTCAACTACAGAAAAAAAAAATCAGAAATAAAAGTTGTATATTATAACTAATAGAACTGAGCAGATATAAGATTAACTTGTGAAAATTTATAGTATTCTTCAATACCAGTGATAAATAACTACAAAATAAAGTCGGAAGCAGAAATAAAAGCTGTAAGCATTCTGCTATTAATTTAATTAAGAGTACCAAAAGAATATAGTGGGGAAAAAAAAGCTTAATTAATAATTTTGGGGGTTTCTTTTTAGAGAGAGAGATTTTGCTATAGGGCACGTTCGCTTACCAGAGAGACAGAGAGAAACAGAAAGCGAGAAATTGCCCACCGAGGGATGGCTACACCACAATCCCTTCTCTTCCATTCTCCTCTTGGGATTTTAGGCAGGCATGCATGCACATGCTTCCGGCATGAGTTTTAAGCTGCTGGGTCTAGAACTCGAACCACAGTTGAATACATGGGAGTCCAGCAACATAATCATTATGCCATCTGCTGGCCCCTGAATTCATAATTTAAAAGATCTTTTTCTTACATGAATGGGATGATTTAGCATTATATTATTAGGCATATCTACCTATAAATTTAATCAATTCAAATAAAAATTCTAGAAGTATTCTTTTCTGACCTCCAATTGATTCTAATATATATATTCCATATATTCTAATTTATTATACTAACATAGTATAACATATCAAAGGATAGCTAACTGATTCTAAAATATATCATATACATTATACATAGATATAGATATTAAAAGGTCTACAAATAGGGCAATTTAATTAGAAAAATTAGAAAGGGCTTCTTTTACCATATATGTATATATTACAGAAGTAAATACATTAGGTCATCAGGAAAGTTATGATGCATTTTTCTGTGTTTTTCTATCCAAAAATGTGTTATAACTTTCCTGGTGACCTAATAACAACAACAAAATAGAGCTCAAAAACTGACTCACGTAAATGAGAAAAATTGGTATGTGCCAGAGGTACTACCAGGAATTACTGTATGATGCACAGATTAAGTGTAGTAGATGGGATTGGTAAAACTGTATCCATCATATAAAAACAAAAAAATTTGAATTCCCCCTGATACTATATACAATGATGAACCCACAGTGGATAATAAAACAAAGCAAATATAAATTAAAATGTGTATGATAAAATATTAAAGAGTGGGCCAGCAGGTGGTGTGGTGGTTAAGGGCACTGGACTCCTACATGGCCGACCACAGTTCGAGTCCTGGACCTGGTGGCTTGCTTTCTCATTTATCCTCTCCCTCTCCCTCTCCCTCTCCCTCTCTCTGTCTCTCACTCACTCTGCCCCTCTCTGGCCAAATTAGAACAAAACAAAACAAAACAAAATTAAAGGGTAATATATTTAATGGTAATATTCTGTGACCTTGGAATAGAGAGATTTCTGATAAATAAGATTCAAAAACTACAAACTATAAGGTTAAAATTGAGGGGCTTAATTTTATCAAAATTAAGAATTTGTTTCATAAAATATAACATAAGCATAGTTTAGATATCTACAATATCCTAACCTGTTAATATCTATGAAATATAAGAAATTTCTGAAAATATTTTTCTAGTAACAGAGGAAAAAAGGACAAAAGCTCCCTGGAGATGGTGTAATAGTTAATAGATGATTTATATTTGCTTTGTTTTAATTAGTTATTACTCCTAGCAGATGGCGTAATGGCTATGTCGCTAGACTCCCATGTAATCGACCGCAGTTCAAGTCCTGGACCCGGTGGCTTAAACTCATGCTAGGCGTGTGTGTGTGCGCGTGCCCAAGATCCCGAAAGGAGAATGAAGGAGAAGGGATGCAGCATGGTCATCCCCCCGGGAGGTCATTTCTCTTTCTGTCTCTCTGTCTCTCTCTCTCTGGTGAGCACACGCACCCTATAGTAAAAATCCCTCCTAAAAAATAAAAAAATGTTAAAAAAGGACAGAATCTCCAATATATAAACTAAGCTAAGGTTAAAAATAGGCATTTTATAGAAGAAAAATCTTAAGTAAGTCTATAAAGAAAAGCATTTACCAGGAATTAGAGAAATACAAACAGATGTTATTCAATATTCATTAGGTTAGCAAAAATTAAAAATGACTGAATTAAGAAGTATGCTTTATGATTCAACAATTTCAGTACTAGGTATATAGAAACCATAGTAACTTACACACAAGTCCATAAGATAGGCTACATAAAAATGCTAGAGGCAATTTAAGGGTTAATAGATAAAGTAATAAATAATTAAAACAAAGCAAATATAAATCATCTATTAACTATAATGCACTAACTAGTGAGAGGAAATGAGCCAGATATACAGGCTATAGCAGGTTACATTATTTAAAATAGTGGTGAATTAAGAATGTAAGAAATAAAACTAGATTCATAGCATAATACCATGACCAAATTAGAAATACATATACAAAGTCACTGTATATTTTTCACACATACATGTCTATTACCATATAATAAACATGTTCAAGCTAGTAATGTGTAAGTATACTAAAAAAAAAAAAAAAGTTCATAGATCAATGTCCCAAATTGTCTGGAGTAATGACTGAGTGACTCTATTTTAAATAAGTGAAGAAAGAAAAGAAGTAACAGGCTGGAAAATAAGACATAATTGTACATATTAAAAACAACCTGATAAAACTACACTGAACTTGTACTGTAAAAAATATTAATAAAGAACATTTATCATCTATTTGTCTTTATTGATAATAGAGTTTAATCTTTTATTGACTTTGGGTGTACCTATCTGTGTGTCCACATATAGCTATACTATTGGGTCATTGGAAAGTCACACGTATTTTTCCATGTTTTTCTATGCAAAAAGGCATCATGACTCTCCCAACGACCCAATATTAAGATGGAGAAAGGGGCCAATTCTCAGATTATATTAACACTGTATTATCTCCTGCTCTCTGCCCCCACGAAGTGCCTTCTACTATATTCTTTATATGACAAAAGGAATAACTCTCATCAGGAATTAAAAAAAAAAAAGGTGTTTCTACTAATACTAATTTTTTTCAAATTTTCCAGATGGCATATGTGCTTGCCAGGGAGAGACTCAGAGACAGAGAAAGAGAGGAAAAGAGGGAGAACGCACCCTCCATGGAGAATGGCCACACCACAGTCTCTTCTCCATTTCTCTACCTCTTTGGGAAATTTTGAGCACACATACATATGTGCCTGGTATGTTTCTCAAGCTACCAGGTCTAGGACTTGAACTGCATTGGCCATGGGGGCTCTATCTCTCTTAACCACCAAGCCACAGATTTAGTGTAAAGTGTAAAGATAGGCTATTGTTATTTAAATAACTAACAATATTCAATTAAAAGCAGAAATGTCAATGTGTTGTGACCATTTCTGATTATAATATACTAATTTGTTGACAACTGATAGAAAGGTCACTAACTATAGCATGTTATGTGGCAAACAAACAAAAGATTCAAGAAGCAAAAAAGGAATGGACTAATTTTTATCATTAATACTTTCTAAACAATGGCTTCTAATTCTTCTTAATAAGAAACAAGAAAACTACCAAAAAGTAGAAAGTACAGTTTTGAATTCAATGTGTATCTTTTATTAAGTAGAGTCAAATAGTACAGGAAAGGTAATTAGGGAGAAAAAATAGAGAGGTAAGACACCTGTGGGACATAGAAATGTTTTATAACCTGTTGATGATGATGTGTATAATATTTTCAACTGGACTGGCCTCAGGTGTATTTCAAGTTGGGTAAATTCTCTATATAAGCTAAATGATGTACACCAATTAAATGTATAAAAATATAATAAATAAATAAATAAAAACAAAATCAGAAGACTCACCAGAACTGAATATATGTGTAGACATCGATAAACAGGAGAAAAATCCACCAAATCTTGGGCCCCAGGTACCTGCAAACACAAGATTATCACAAAAACTCAAACAAAGCTGTTAAAAGCAACTGCATTCACTTTTCCTATTGAAATATTCTTAAAAAGCTTTCGTTTCTAAGCGACAAATACAAAACGATCAAAAATTCTCCCCAAGTCCTGGTGCTGGTATTTTAGCTATAGGACTAATAAATTGTGTAGCTATACACTGAGGCTAGAACAAAGCCCATAAGAATGAATAGAAGAGAAACAGATGGCACTGGCCCTGAATTTGCCTTTAGAGCTGTTACAGGTACATATTGGGCTCAGGACCTCTAAAGAGAACATTAAAACATGGGAATATGACTTTTATGACTTGACTTTGTCTTCTAAAACACGTAGTATTTTCATAAAAAAAAAAAAAAAACTAAGTGTCAGTCAAAACAAAACTTGCCACCGAAGAGGAATAAAATGGCCTGCCAGCCAACTCCTAAAAGTGACAAGCATTAGTGAATAGTTAAGTCAGTATGCAATCAAAATACAGAACTATGTTAACAAGGTCATGTAAAAAATAAGACAACAAATGGAAAAAACAAATCTGGCAATTATAATGTGATACTGCATATCGATTAATCCTAAGCATCAAAAGATAAAATAAAAGGAAAACCATCAGGCAAGAACTGGATGGAATCTAGTCTCAGTGCCAAAAAATAAAATAATAGTAACAATCATAATATTATTATTATTTGTTTATTTCTTTCATGACGGAGAGACAAGGATCCCCAAGAGAGTCAGTCCCCATGCCACAGTCCATCCCTAATTACAGTCAGTCTAATTCACAGGCATGAGTCCTCCCTGTTTGCCCACAGAGATTGGGGACATAATTCCAGACCTTTCCCATGTGGGCCCAGTGGTGTTCATGGGATACTACTTCCTGAACTTCAGGCCTAAAACTGACTTGCTGTATATGTGACATGACAACAAGTAAATCATCATTTACTTTGGCTTTCATTTCCTCAACTGAAAAAGAAAACTATCAGTTGACTTATTGGAATTTATTAGGAATATGATGAGAGACAAAAAATAAACCCTGAATAAAACAAAATGGAAAATAGAAACTTACATAAAGAAATAAACTAAATAAAGACCTAGCTGCAGTTTTTACTGTAACACTATTACAGTATGATTCATCAGAATAGAAGTAGCAAGTACATCTAAGCTGAGTTAGGCTGATTTGTGATTACAAGGCCAGTTTTCCTTATTTTATAAAATAAACCTCATTTCTTATTCCAAGGCACAGCTTCTTCAACAAGATATTTTTCTTAATAAAATCCACCCATTCTATTGTATAATTCAACAGCACAATACCTTTCTTTTCCCTCTGAAACCATCACACTTCTATTATTGGCTCAAATGTATGGACTATTCTGTTCATTTACTTTGCACCTGTGAGCACAAAGAGATTAAATCTCTACATTTAACTGTCTCATAGTGCTATATATGCTGTAAACATGCAAAACAAGCCTTCATGTGAATCTAAAAATTGATGGCAAGGTGTTCAAGAGCCTCACCATGTCCCAAGAATAATCTTACATTTTAAAAAAAAAAAAGTCTTTAAAGAATGAATGAGTAAAGCAAATTACAGAGAAAAATATTTTATGAACAAATAGGCACCAGACACCAGACATTTCTTAAAAGAGTGGGAATAAAATAATGTGAAAAATTATAACTGGGAAGTACTAATGGACACTCATTTTCAGCATAGTAACTTGAAGAGTCAAGCTTGAGCTTTTATTTGAAATGACTACAACATGAAAACATCTTTACGATCTCTCCTCCTTTAACTGCAAGTAGAGATATGAACATTTATTTTATCTAGCCAGAATACCAGAGCCTATTTTATTTTGAAAAACAAATAAGCAAACAATAAAAAAGAAATTTCTTTTGTCTTGTCAGAAAACCACAGCCTACAGCTAAGCAAAACACAATCTCAAAATTTTACAAGTCAAACATTATAGTCATAATAGTATTTTAATTACATAAAAACTAGACAGGTATATGAAAAAAAGACAAGAAGGAAACATTTTTTAAAGAATTATCTAACTTTATTTATTCATTCATTCATTCATTCAATTTGACCAGTGAGAGAGACAGAGAAAGAATGACAGAGAGAGAGAGTGAGAAAACAAGCCACCAGGTCCGGGACTGGAAATGTGGTTGGCCATGTGGGAGTGTCCAGCGCCTCAACACCATGCCACCTGCTGATCCCAAGGAAACATTTTTTAAAGTTTCATCCAGAGAACAGTCGATGGTGAAGCAGAAAAACACAAGGCTCTGCAAGGCAGATCCACCTGGGAATCTTCCTATCTGGAGATCTCCCTGCGTATTTGACAGGTAGGCATGTACCCATATGGGCTGGCAGAAGTTGGGGGAGAATTGTGGTGTCAAGTCCCTATTGAGAATAATAAACCTCTCTCTCCCTCCTATTCACCATCTCTGTCTCTCTCACTCATGAAATAAATAATCTTAAAGAAAGAATCTGTGTATGAAATTAAACATTTTCCTTTATTTAGAATTAAAGGTTAAAAGTCATTTATTATTAAGTTTAAAGAAATCTTTTACCTAATTTTGAATAGCAAATGCAATCCTAATTTTGTTCATATGTTCTTCTTCATGCAGTTTGCTTATTTTGCATTACTTTGTGTCCTTACTCAAAAGGAAACCACTTGTACCATTCCTTAGACAGAGCCTTGGTTCTTCTGAACGTCAGACACATTCTCGTAGGATGAACATCATTTTAAGGGGCAGTTTCACTAGAAATCTGTGACACATAAGTTAATAAGGCCCCTTAACAAAGAAAGATTTGGTTACCAACAGGCTAAGCTTGCTTTATCTGAGCAGACTAAACAAATATATATATTTAGGGAGAAGACAAAGGCCATTTCTGTCATCTCCAACAAATACTTCCAACTAAGCTTATTCTCTGTGAGGCTATAATGACACCATTATAACAGCTTCAAACTCTGTAAAGCGCCCTGACCTGTAAGTATTGGCTCTACCATTTCAGAACCATCATCCTTCTAAGTCCTCCTAAGGATTTGACTGCCTGCCTTAAAAGCAATATACAGAAATGTGGGTTTAAAAAAAAATAAAGAGTAAAATAAGGATTCAGTTCACAATCTTTATCTCCACCCCCAAAATAGCCTCCTATTTAGAAATCATTTTTCCTCCACACTCCCCTCTGTGAGGAACACTAGGAATGAACACTGTGAGGACCAGAGAAGAGTGCAGTGGGGATAAAGGTATGTAAACTATGCACTGACTCATGTTGCTTTGAGCTAGATGTGTTTTCTCTGCTTCCACTAATGAAAAAGAATCACTTACATCTACAGAAAGGAAAAAGGAGAAGAGCAACACACACTGTACGTGAAGGAATGCTGCATGTTTGGAAGGATAAGAAATGAACTTTCAAAAATCTAACTAGGTGGGCGTGGGGAAGAGCACTAGAACAAAAGGCATTTTTTTTTTTCTGATTCATAGAAATAGGTCTGTTTTAAGACCACATTTTGTTCACTGCTTAAAATGCTAAATCTCTGTCAAAGCTGTCTTCAGACTCCTTCCCCTCTTTTGCCAACCACCTCCCCCCTCTTCAAGTTGCAAAGAATGATTCTAGCAGGTTTAGGTTTCAGCTGGGGGAGAGGGAGGGGTCCAAGGACACTTTCCTAACAATAACTGTCTCTAATGGCTTCTGTCTCCTAACAAAAGCCATGACTCTTTCTTTATCAGCTTCATCTAATTTTTGCTTTCCAAAGTAAATAACACAGCCCTTGTATTTAACACATGTCCAAATTTGACAAATCATTATCGACTGCAACTATAACTGATAAGAGATAACTTTGTGGTAGGACCTTGTCATTTCCTCTCATAAGGGCTTTCTTTCTGAGATACAGAAACATGATTAAAATAGTTAAACATTTCCTCTGCCTGGCAGTCAGGAACTCAAGGCATTAAGATACTGGAGTCTGTATTTTTCTAGAACTTCAAATAGATCTATGACGATACCAACAGTAACCACAAACAGTATATTCAAGATTATCCTGCTTTTTTAACTAGTAGTTTTTCCTAAGTATTCACACAAAATAATTTCATCACCAAGGACAGCTGCCTAATGCCCTATATGCAATAGTTTTCTGAAAAAGAGTATTAATACCTTCTGCCAGCTTAAATCTCATTATTTTCAGGAAGAACAAACAGTACGTAAGATTTTAGATTCTATAACTAGGATACCTATGCCTCAGATTATGTCATAATATTATATAAATTAAGGGAATTTGCAGGCCAGCCCCATATCCTAGAGTTTAAGGGAACCAAATGCAACAAATCCCAGCCCTGAAGCCTTAGTAAATACACTTGGGGCCAGCTGGTGGCGTGGTGGTTGAAGCAGCTGGATCTCACATGGCCAATTGCATTGTTCAAGTCCCAGATCCAGTGGCTTGAAAAACACACTGGGTGCGTATGCATATGTGCCCCAAATCACAAAAGTAGAGAGAGAAGTAGAGGAGAGAGGATTGTGGCATGAGAAAGAATCGTACCCCATGGGGAATGCTTTTTCACTTTCCCTCCCTCTCTCACTCTCTCAGTCTCTCCAGTGAGTTCATACTTCCTGAGGCAAATTTAAAACAGACAAAAACATATGCACACACACATACATATATACGTATACACACACACACACACACATATATGTATATATTTCCCAAAACTTGACAAGATGAAGAAATAGAATAGAAGGGATTACAGTGTGATCATGCCCCATTGGGATGTTTTCCCTCTCTCTCTCTCTCTCTTTCTCTCTCTCTCTCTCTCTCTCTCTCAGAGAGTTGGCCCCACAGAGCAGCAGTTAAGTTCAGTGCATAAGGAGCCAGATCCCACATGGCTGATCACAGTTTAAGTCCTGACCTCAGTGACTTGAAAAACATCAGGCACATGTGCATACATGTCAAAAAGAAAAAAAAATCCTAACAGGATGGGGAAGTGAAAAG